ACCTAGCATGCTAGGTTATTTATATTTAATTGCAAGTTTAGTTGTCAACGGTCAACGTCGGAAGTCAACGGTCAATGCCGGAAGTCAACGGATTTTCGCCGGAAGTCAACGGATTTTCACCAAAAGTCAACGCCGGAGTCAACGGTCAATGCCGGAAGTCAACGGTCAACACCGGAGTCAACGGGTCAAAAAAATATTTATATAATTAAAATAATAAAAAAAAAGATTAAATCTTAGTCACTCATTATGTACCAAATCTTGTGACTAGAAATGAGCCTCACGTCCTCACTTTAAGAATGTGGATGCATTAGAACCAATCTATATATATATATATATATATATATATATATATAGATTTCATTAAGGCATGATTATTATTTTAATTTTATTTTCTTTTCCTTTAATTTTTTAATCAAACAAGGTTTACCATTTTCTCTTCATTCCCCTCCTAAATAAATCTTTTTTAAAAGGTAAAATTATTTTACATCATCTCCCCTCCCTTCCCTTTATCTCCATTAGAAACTCTCCCTTCTCTTTCCCTCCATTGAACCAAACATAGACGATTATAAGCACATAACTGGCTAACGTCGAATCTCTTAAACCGGCTTTACATCCTCGTGGGAGTGTACGTTTGGTGTAACTTTGTGAAAATTTTGGCTCTGGCAAAACACATTTATATTTCACAGCTGAGAGATGGACACTTTTGGGAAGGGGAGTGACATCAGAACCTTCGTCAATGGTGTATTGCACTTTGTGGAAGGGGCAAGGAAGATGGCCAATATAGGGACTGCACGAGTTCAGCGTCTTGTCCGCTGAGAACCACCGCCGAATCATGGATAAAGGTGAAATGAGAAGGAGCCCAAATAGACCCTCAAGTACGGTCTTTTCAAGAGGATTGCTTCATGACTTCCATGGCACATGGCTCGGTGGCTTCGTGATGAATATTGGAGAATGTTTTGGAGCAGAGTTATGGAGATTAGTTCAGGGCCTTAATTTAACTTGAAACTTGGGGGATCATTGGGTAGAGGCTAGAGTCGACAACTCCATCGTTGTGGGATTTGCTAAGAAAACTAAAGATTTAGTAGGGTTCATTCTTGTTTAGTATCGGGACATGAGAGCTCCTCAATCGAGATTGACAGGTGAAGATTTCCCACATCTTTCGTGAAGCTAATTTTGTTGCGGGCTACTTAGCGGCCTTTGTGGCTTCAATCTCCCTTGGATGTCATCAGCTTCATACTCCGCCTTTTGGTGTAGTTTTGTGGCTCGAGCACCACTTGAGAGGTGTCTCCTATCAACCGAAACGTTTGCTTCTAATAGTATGTGAGCAACTATGCTCTTTGTACCAATAAAAAAACACATACCTTTTAATTTACTTTAAATACTTTTAATTACTTTAAAATTACCACAAAATAATTATATTAATATTTGAACAAATTAAAGAGGTACATTGATTCTAAAGTTTCTAAATTTTATTGAGTTTTTAGATTGGAAAATTTTCATTACAAGTCTCATTTTTTTTGTAATTGTATTAATTCAATTCATGAATTTTATTTTTTCACAATAGAACGTTTACATTTTAAGTTATTATAAATTTAAGAATTACTTTTTTTGGTTAATTTCTTACTATAAGGTCCAATTAACTTTACTTTTTGACATAAATATGTGAACTAACTATTATGTGAACAAATTTATAATAATTATTATTATTTATATTTTACATACTTTAATAAAAATAATAATTGTTTTAGTAAAATTACATTAATAAGAAAATGAAACTATATAAATTACAGTTATGCAAAAAATCAATAATGACAATTTTAAAAAGACGATAATTCAAAATATGTAGATGAAATATTATTTCTATTAATATTAAAATGCTATAAAAGTAAACAATAACATTTTAGGATTTTAACTTTTTTTTTTGGACGAAAAATTGATATCATGCCATTATTGGCTGAAAATAATATATTATTTTGTAGAACTGTGAGTACATATTCTTTTATAGTTTTATTCAATATTTATATTATTAACTAAAATAATATTATATTATAAATATTTCAAATTCACTTGTCAGTTTTATAAAATAATCACTATTAAACATTTTAAAAAATATAATTTGTATAGTTTCATTTTCTTACTACGGTAATTTTACTAAAATTTATGTCTCAAATAGTCTTATAATGAAAATTTTCCTTTTAGATTTTAACCAGAGTAGGCATATTAAAACTTTTACAAATTTAAAGATATTTGTTTGAAATTAAAGAATTGCATTATTAAAACTTTTAAAACTTTCAATATATTTGTTTGATATTAAATAATAAGATATATAAATTGAGTATTCAATTTATTTATCGCTTTGATTTGTTTGAAAATATTTAGGGCTTGATTGCTTATGAAACAATTTGTTAAAAATGAGTTATTTTAGTTAACCATAATTAATTTTTTAAAAAATGTGATATAGTTAGTTGTTAGTGAAATTTTAAGAATGAATTAAAATAATATTTAAAATAAAATAATTAAAATTGATTGAATAAAAATAGGGAATAAATGATTGAAAATGATAGGTAGTTAAAATTATGTGAGTGGATGAATATTGAATAGTGCATCAAAGTTGATGTGAAGTGTAATAATTATTAGTTTTAATTATTTAATTATATAAATAATAATAGTAGAGCTATGTTAAAATTGAATTAAATTTTAAGTATAAAATAAAGTTGAGTAAATTATTTCATAAATAATCAACCACTTATGATCTATCTCCTTTTGTTTGTAAAAAATATCATCCTGATAAAAGATACAATGTGTCATATCAAATTCCACTTTCAAATATCAAAGAGATATAAATTTTAAAATGGTCCATGGATGATTAGATCATTACATTATCATCCCTCAATTAGAGCATTAAACTTTCTCCAATGGCAGCCGTCTCAGCTTCCATCTTCACGTCGTCACTCAGCACAAACCCCACACCAGCAAGGAAATTGTCTTCTCTCTCTTCCTCCAGTTCAGTTTTCTTCACTCATAACATCATTAATCGGGCCAGATTCGGGTTGGCGGTGGGCTCTCCCAGGAGATCTAAGAGAAGGGGGCTTTCCTGCAAGTGCCTCTTCGGGCTTGGGGTTCCGGAGCTCGTCGTCATCGCCGGCGTGGCGGCGCTCGTTTTCGGGCCGAAGAAGTTGCCTGAAGTTGGCCGTAGCATTGGCAAGACTGTCAAGAGCTTTCAGCAGGTCTTACCCTTTAATTTCCTCTTAATTATAGTTTTGTGGGCTTTTCTCGATTTGTTATTTTGTTATTTCAGCTGATTAATTCTTAGTTTATGAGATTTGGAGATGCCCTAGTGGTTAGGTTTGTGTTTCAGAGAGGTAATTCACTTTGCGAATCAATTTTCTCAACCAAGGAAAAGAAAATGGAAAGTATATGTGGGTTTAGGGAAGGGGATTCTTGTGCAACCAGCAGTAGTTTCACTTACTGTTTCTGTTATATTTCAGATAATCTAGATTTTTTGGTTGTATGCCATGGATTTTGTTGATATTATGCGTTTTGTAAGAAATTATATGGATTTTTGTGATGATAATGTAATTAAGAATATTTGGCTCGAAAGTATTGAGGTCATGGTTGATTATCATGTTGTGCTAGGCTTTACTTAATAATGAAAAAAAATCAAAACGATTAACTGGGTATCAAGTAAGTGCTGGAGTTATTGATAATGTAGTACAAATTAATTATTCAAAATCTATGATTAAGTTTGCAGGAAGAATCAGCGCGTAACAAGAAATTGGATTTCATACATTTCTTAGAAAATTATAGGAGGTCATGAACTCACTCATCACAATTGTTATAGCAGTTATCGAGTTGGAATTAGAAGGTGGAATATGGAGTTGAGGCGGAACATAAGAGTATACTAAGTTTGATATAAAGCAAAAGAAATGTAGATTGAAGTAAAGGACTATCTTAAACTTAATACATGGTCACCTATCCATTGTAACAAATCTGCCGACTTGAAGATACTTGCTCCTTGCCGCTTACCTGTTTGTTGAGTGGTTTATTAGGAGTTTAGTTCTACTGGCATCTTGATATGGGACTTTCTTATGTACGACTTGACTGTTGACATCCAACTATATATGCTGGTTGTTCAATCGAGTTCCATTTCGTTGCCTTACAATTTACATTATATTTTCAGATTATCATCCTGTACTATTTACCCATCTTACTTTATCTATTAGACTATTAGCTAGTCCTAGTTATTTATATATTTCAGGACACATTGTGTGTTTTACAAATGATGCAAACTTTTAGTGTGATTATTCTTGCTCTAATAATTTATAATGGAACCTCTGTGTAGTAACTGAGTGTATTGTGTTATTTGAAGAAATCTCTCATTGGTGAAAATTTGAAGTTGGTTCAAGTCAAGCTCTTACCTTACCCCAAACACTAACAGAAAATAAAAATTGCATCCGAATTCTTTTGCGTTATTTGCCCTTCTTTATTTGTTAACATTCTTTAGTCTCCCCAATGTATAATAATAATTTTGCAGTTAACTTTATCTTAAACGAGGTATCTCTAACAATTGATGTCATTGTGGTTGAGAAAAACAATAAATTTGGTAATAAATCAAAGAATTTGGGACATGAAAACATGTTGGCTGTTGATGCCGTTCAGATAATTCCCAAGTTACAATTGGATTGAAATTGTTATAGTACCCTCTTTGAACTAATTTTATCCATGCCTTCGGTACTTTTGCCTTCTACTTGAGATCATATGTGAATCCTTATTTATTTTTGATGAAAGTGTTTTTGTGTAGTACTGGTTGCTAAAACATGAAAGAGAGTAAATTTGTTCCAGAATACAAATGATGCGGTAATTACTAATGCAAGTCTTCTGAATTTGACCCATTACATCTTAATTTTCTTCCGAAGTCTATACGAATCGTTAAGGGGGTGATTGGATATGAACTCAACTAGTAAAAAATTTGTTTTTTTTAATTATAGTTAAGTTTGAAAAGATGTTGTATGATTAGTTGTTAGTGGATATATTAAAATTATATTTAAAATAAAATAATTACAGTTGATTTGATGTAAAAGTAGGAGAAAATGGTTGGAAGTGATGGTTAGTTAAAATTTTGTGAGTAGATGAATAGTGAATTAAAGTTGATGTGATATGTTATTTAATTATATAGATAATGTTGGAGATAGTGGAGTTGAGTTAAAGTCGAGTTAAATTTGATTTTGATTGGTTTTTTTACTGTACAATCTATATACAATCGCCCCCTAAGTACTCGGGCCGATTAGTTTTATCGACGCCTTTTCAAATGTAGGCTGCAAAGGAATTCGAGACAGAGCTGAAGAAGGATGGAGAGTCCTCTGCAGAACCATCTGGCGAAAAGATTACAACTGCCAGCGAGGACAAGCAACAAGAAGCTCAGGTTCCAAGCGCGAAAGAGAGTTCTTAAATTTCCTTAATGTGTTGTACTTGTCGTGTATTTGGAAGTTGTTGTAGTTACTTGTTTCTTTTTCTATGAGCACCAAAATTTTTGGATACAAATTGGCTGTGAGTGAGTGGTGCTATTAAATTAAACGAGGTTGGTTAGGCTCGACTCGAGCGAGCCTTAACGAGCTCAACTCAAGTTCATTTAAATCTCGTTTGGTTAACGAGCTCGGCTTGATGAGACTCATTAAGGCTCGAAAAGATAATTTTTATACAATTTTCTATAGTTCGGTTCATTAAAACTCTAGATCGGCTCAAACTTGGCTCGTTAATAGTGATAAAGGAGTCGAGCTCGAGCTCGATTTCTGGCTCGTTTATTTAACTAGCCAAGGTCGAGTATACCATTTTCTCCCATTTGGTTTTGTCTTTTATAAATGTGTGTGCAGTCATAAGATAAATATGCCGGTTGGGTTTAACATGTTGTGCACTATCTGTGCAAAACTGCAAATTAGTGAGGTGTATATATTTTTTTTTTTCCAAAATTAGTGAGGTGTATTAATGTAGGATTTTTTTTTAGATTTTAAAGATTGTGGTGTATTTATTTTGGATGATTGGATATTTTTGAAAGTTTGAAGGTATTACTTTAATTTTAGAGTCTTTAAAAGTTAGGAAATATTCAATTTACTTGTGACTTTAATTTGTTTGGGTTTTTAAAAACTTCTTGTGATCTTAAAACCAAACCATACAAATTATATCCATCAAATCTGACATCCATACATAAAAGATTTTCACGTTTTTTTTTTTTTTTTTTTTTT